TATGTATATGTATATGTATATATGTATGTATGTATGTATGTATGTATGTATGTATGTATGTATGTACGTAGGTATGTATGTATATGTATATGTACGTATGTATGTATGTATGTATGTATGTATGTATGGGGGTTATGGCTGACGAGCCCGAAAATCAAAGCCCCAGCCTCAACCCCTCTGTGCGAAGCACGAAGCCCAAACCCTCCACTCGACAAGCAGAATCCCTCAAACCCATCGGACTCTAGCTTTAGGGTTTGAAGGTGCGCAGCTTCGGAGTCTAAACCCTAAACCCTAAACCCTAAATTGAGGTCAAGGGCTTACGGCTTAAACAGGAAAGCCCTAACCTCAAGACCGAAGTCACAAAACACCTAGACTATCCAGACAGCTCAAGACGTGGAAAAGCCATGCAACCGTTAGGGCATGAAAGAGCATAAAGAGGGACTGCAGGGCCTGTTACTTGCACGAAGTGCCCATCCGGGTGGTAGAAGATTGTCTAGACAGCTCAAGGCGAAGGTTAGGGCATGATAGGGTATGAACGATAAGGAGTTCCACGGGCAATAAAGAGGACTGTAATTATGGCATATTTCTTGCACGAAATGCCCATCTAGGTGGTAGAACCCTAAACCCTAAACCCTAAACCCTAAGGACTCTACCCAACTGTTGGTGAGGTTCCAAATACAAGCGTTTAGGGCGACGGCCGCACGCCGAAGCCCGGTCCCCCACGATCCTGATACTCTGAACTCTGACACCCTAAACCCTAAACCCTAAAACCTCGAAACCCTAAACCCTAAACCCTAAACCCAAATTCTAGACTCTGAATCCCCAAACCCTGAAACCTGAAACCTCGAAACCCTACAAACCCTGAATCCCTAAACCCTGAAACCTGAAACCTCGAAACCTAAACCCTAAATCCTGAAACCCTGAAACCTCGAAACCCTATAAACCGTGAAACCCTAAACCCTAAACCCTAAACGATGAAACCTGAAGGTCTGGGGCCTCGATGCCGAAGTAGGTGGTGGGAGAGAAGGCCAATGCGCCAGCCTTCTGAAAGTGGTTCCTTGCAACGAGGGTTTAGGGTTTAGGGTTTGGGGTTTAGGGTTTGGGGTTTAGGGATTGGGGTTTAGAGTTAAGTTTAGGGTTACCCTGCCCAATAATTAGGCACTTGGGTTTCGGATAGTAGTTATGTAGGTTCGTAGTTGGGAGAGTATATGACTAGTAGGCACCTCAACCCGTAGGGGAGTGGTCTGCCTACCTCGACCCCACAGCTATCCGTAAACCCCACAATCGTAGCACCATGCTGCTTGTACACGCTTGTGCTAAGGGTACCTAGGGTTCCTGTTCCTGCTTTCGATTTCTTCCAAGGGCTCTGTACTACAGGCGGGCTCTAGAGGCCAATGCTTAAGTTAGGGTTTGGGGATCAGAGTTTGGGGTTTAGGATTTAGGGCTTAACCGCAATTGCAGGCGCAGCTCTCCGACTTACGGCTTGAATAATGTAGTAGGGCAGACTCAATACGAAGCAAGACATGGGAAGATCTATGAACCATGTCGACGATGCCCAATTCCAGTCCCGCAGTTTCAGGCCATCCACACACACACACACACAAAGGAATTTTAATTGGGCTGTTCTGCAAACACGGCTTTGGGGTGTTAGGGTGTGTAGGTCTTCTGTGTTTAGGGATTTACTTGGAGGTTCATGGGTAGTTATAAATGCGGTTATAAGTCCCCTAATATGGGTTATAACTATAGTTACCCTACTTCTAACTCCACTTATAACTACCCATGAACCTCCAAGTAGGGTCTAGGGCTATAGGATGTAGAGTTGATGCCGGTTGAATTTCGGATTTTACCTGACCTCCCCGGGTATAAATCCCCCGGTGTCAGCTCGACGGGTAAATCCCGGACTACCAAATCTAAATAATGTAGGGGCCTTAATGTTAGAATAAGGATTCTGGGTATAATATACTATAGCTGTAACAAGGAACCCCCAAAATAGTGTAGGTAATACATATTTCGGTCCCCATTAATAATACCTCAACCTCGAAGTTCTGGCTGCCACATACCGGAACAAACAAATACGCGGCATCGTGATACAAGCTTATGAGCGCGAGCACTGAGAAGCAAGTGAGCAGCAAATAAGTGAGAACATTCGGCCACAACCATCATCCACGGGAATGATGAGCAGACGAAACTCGCTGATAAAACGGCATTCCTCCTCATGTCACCCACCCGCAAAGATCAAGTCCGAAGTTTTGATAAGAACGAAAACTTGAAGACTACACACAAGTTTCGAACGTAGGATGGGCTTTCACTAGAGTGCACCTAATCGCGATTGAGGCCCAGGTGCTGCACCAATCCAAGCCTCAGTGCTCCATGCTCGCAGAGTGTTCATGTTTTAGGTTTTAGGGTTTTAAGGTTTAGGGATACAATAGCAGTGCTTACGAACATACTTGAACCGACTAGAGATGGTGTTTCGGATTTGCAGCAGTTTGCAGGCTGATCGGCAAAAGAGGCGATGGCCGAGATGTGTGGCGCACTTTTTGCTCACAGTCTGTCTGTGAGTTATTTGCCTAAACCCTAAACCCTAAGCCCTAAATCCTAGACCCTAAACTCCAAACCCCAAACCCCTAAACCCTAAACCCTAAACCCTAAACCCTCAACCCTAAACCGTGTTGTGTGGAGGCCCTGGTGACTGTCTCGTTCCCGGTTGTAACCACGACTACCAGTACAAGCACCACCGAGGCTCTCGGGTTTCAGAAAAAGTCAGACATGCATGTAAAGCACTGAAAAGATCGAGACGAAGATAGACATGCCTCAAACATACTTAAACCCTGCGTGTTGAGGCAGGCGCTCCGGGAATTGCAATTGGCATATTCGGGGGCAAGCTAGTGCAGATTTGCATTTTGCCAGGCTGGGAACTTTTGCGGCTCATTTAATTCGGCGCTGGTGGGCTGACCCGCGCCCCTCACTCGGCGAGGGTGGTTGATCACATTGCCACTAATCCCTCTAGAGTGCTTCATGTCGTGCCGCAAGGCGACGGGCCAGGGACGATTTACAGAAAACTGGCAGCTAGGCCATAGCATCACAGTCACGCATCCTTATACCTCGGGCCGGTGAACCGCCAGTGTTAGAATATGGATTTAGGGGGAATATTACAATCAAACTGGGATCTTGTTTACTACTAAAGATAACTCCTATTCTAAACTCTTACAGAGCCCAATGAATCCATTTTGGAACCTCGATAAACGCAGATAGAAGCCTATCAGCCCTAAACTCTTTAATTGATATTCTAATTGCAATAAGGAGCCCTCAGGACGAGTATTACAAATTACTCAGGCCCTTATAATACATACCACTTCCCAAAGCCTTATGCGCCCCTAAAGAAATCCATAAGCCCTCATAAATCCCCTCAGTGTTCGCATTACAGAAACCCTAAACCCCCTCATCCCTAAACCCTTTAAGCCCAAAAACCTTTCCTGCTTAAAACCTCAACTCTTCAGCCTCTGAGCCTAAACTTTTGCCCTAATATAGGGCCTTAATAGTTAGAGTAGATTTTTGGTATAATATACTAGAGTTAGAATAAGGAACCCCCAGAAATAGTATTGGCAATTATGTAGGCCCCTATATTAACCCTTTAACCCCCGAGCCCTTGAAACCCTAGACCCTTGCAACCACAAGCCCTCTTAAGCCGAGATGCACTCCAGCAACCGAACCGCTGAGTCCTTCGCCGACGGCCAAGGCGGTGGTGAAACGCCTCAGGTTCATGGTCTAGGGTTTAGGGTTTAGTGTTCAGTGAGTTGCCATGGCGTTTATACGGATCTAAGGGGCTTATCAAACTGAAAGAGGTTCTTTGCAACATTGAATTAAGGTTTTTTTTTTCAGAAAATCGGGCGCATCTTTCTTTTCCTGGGAGGGTTATCTTGACGCTCCAACTACTTAATTGGGTCTACATGAGGGTTCCCTATCTAATTTCTGAATCTGCGATATGTACGTATGTGTGTACATATATAGTCTATATATAATATGTGTATATATATATATATATATTAGATGCACATACACATGCACACATGTATATATATATATATATATACGTATGTACATATGTATATATATATATATATATATGTATACATATGTAGCATATGGCATCGGTTCTATGTTATGGCTTCGGTCTAAGCATGTATTGTTGATATGTCACGTTCTGGCTTGGGTTGAGCATAGTTTTGTCTGTGCTTCAGGGCTGCGGCCTTCGAAGATTAGAGGTGAGGGCTTAGGGTTAGTGGTTTAGGGTTTAGGGTTTAGGGCTTAGGGTTTAGGGAACAGATAAGAAGGGTTGCAGCCAAAACAGCTGCATATCCTGCATGTATATGTATATATATATATATATGTGTATATATATATGTGTATATATATATATATATACAGGTAGGTAGATATTCATCCAACTAGCAGCTAGCCTAACCCGAATTACAGGAACTACAAACAACCCTACCTAAACCTGTCCATACACCTTCATAAGCCTGAGCCCTAAACCCTAACCCCAGGCTTCAGGGCGAAAGGGTAAAGTTTAGTGTTTTCGTATATTATCCGAATAAAGAAATGTTTCTGAAAATTGTTACGGGGCCCTGAGCTCTCTTGGAAACGGGTTAATGTTTGCCTTCCCAAAGGCTCCTAAGTAGCGACATAGTAGAAACTAGGGTTTCCACAACAGGGCTTACTGTTGTGGCATGTGCAAGCACATGCAGGTACTTAGAACCCTAAGCCCTCAACCCTACGACCCTAAACCCCTTTGGGCTTGGACTTAGACTTGAAAAACCGCGCATGTCGACCGTGAAACGGAAACACCTCAAAGCTGCACGAAACCCCGGAAGCTGCAACCTCTACCACAAAAGGCCTCCCATACTTCAAGAACCGAAACCCCAAACTTCAAGCCCTAAGCCCTTAACCGTTAGACCCCAAACCCTTTTAAGCATCAACTTCTAGAGCCCTTTGACTCCCTGAAATTTAGGGTTTAGGGTTTAGGGTTCAAGTGCCTAAGAATCGTATACTCTCCCAAACAGTACCCTACAAAACGGCTATCCGAAACCTAAGTACCTCACTTTTGAGTCCTGTGGACCCTTATAGGGTAAGCCCCCAACCCTATACCGTAAACCCTAAAACCCTAAACCCCCAACCCTAAACCCCCAACCCTAAACCGTAAACCCTAAACCCTAAACTCCCAACCCTAAACCCCAAAGCCTTAAACCCACAATCCTGACAAACCAGGCCTTGGAAACGTGGCTGCAAGCGGATAGAAGACCAACGAGCTACCACAGTTCGCGAGGCCTTCGCGGAGAGCCACAAAGACCCCTTAGCTAAGGTTTAGGGTTTCGGCTTGAGGGAAATTCCATGAACCTTTGAACATTTACGGGCCTTATAGACCCTAAAGGGCCCTAAACCTTAAACCTTAAACCTTATATTATGAAGTGAAGACGGAAAGTTGGGACATGCCCCTGGAGCAATGCATAGGGAATCCCCATCACGAATCCTTCCAAAACTTTCTGGGGTTCACTAAACAGAATAAGGAATCTGCAGTGATTTCAAGGGCGGTTTAGGGCTTAGGGTGTCTTATAAGTATACTCCGGAATTACGGTATGGTTGCTCACGGTTCGCAAAAACTTACGAGAATGAGGCAAGTAAGTGAAGTCAATACAACTCTGCTGGTCGTACCAATGAAACCACTGGTACTGACATGACAACTAACACCACGATGAAGGTTTATAGCACCAATGATCAGAATGTTAAAAGCATACAGGCACACGAATTTACGAGCTCTGCTGGTCACCAATAGCTACTGTGACAAAGACCCTACATCGGCAGCATGCCTTACCCTGAGGCAGGCCGAAGTTGGAAAAAGGCATGAAGCTGGGTTTAGGGTTTAGGGTTTCGGGTTTAGGGTGTTATGAGACGTCTCAGCCTGGAAATTGGGTAAATAGACACGTCATGATTTAGACTGACCCACGGTTCAGTCTTTAGGGCTCAAGGTTTACGGTCGCGCCCTAGGGTTCGACGCTTATGGCCCAGGGGCGCTCCATGCGAAGGCACGCATCGAAATGAAAGGTTGCGGGCTTCGGGCTCGGGCCCTTAGACCAAGACCCTTACTGTAGGGGCCTCAGTAGTTAGAATAGGGTTTTGGGGTGTATAATGGTATAAAGAGGGTTTTGGTGTATATTATAGCATAAATCTAACAAGGAACACCTAACATAGTTTTGGCAATGATTTCGGCCCCTATAGTGGACCAAGACCCATACAACCCCTCATATTGCTGCAGCCCTAAGCCCCAGATCCATGCAGCACTCAACCCTGCTATAGCGGCCTGAATAGTTAGCAATACTATTTAGAATCCCTACATAATGATTCGACTGTGACACGCGCCAAAACTCTGATCCTACTATACCACACCGTCATGCGGTTTGAGACTTCGTCTTGACCTTCCTCGGAGGTGAAGTGGGATTAGAGGAGGTTTTAGTTGAGCTTCAAAGAGGGTTTCAGTGACACACACTCTCTCTCTCTAACAAGAATATAGATACATATACTGTATACATACATGTACAGGTATATACATATATATATGTTTTAAATATTCGTTGGTTTTTTTCAAATTATACAGTGTGTACATATTATACATACCTTTATACTTATATATATATATATATATAACTATATGTATATCTATATATGTATACATACCTTTATACATAATATATATATATATATAACTATATGTATATCTATATGTATATCTATATATATATATATGAACACATATGCCAGGGAGGAAGTTTCTGTAGGGTTTACGCCCTCGGCCCTCGGGCTGATGCCCGTCGGCCTCCAAGGAAGGTCAGGGCCAAGAGCCCCGCGCTTCGCTCGGCTCCTCGGCTCTTAGGAGGCTCCTTTAAAGGGCTTTCCTACAGGTTTAGGGTTTAGGGTTTAGGGCTTTGGGTTTAGGGCTTAGGGCTTTGGGTTTAGGGTTTAGGGCTTTGGGTTTAGGGTTTAGGGTTTAGGGTTCCTTTTCAGAGCTTTTTGGGGTCCCCATGTGCCTCCCAGCAGTCTCTGTTTCTTGAGGGCTCCTTTTCATTTTCCCCAAACCCTACAACCCCCTCAACCCTAAACCCTAAACCCCCTCAGCCCTAAACCCTAAACCCACAACACCCCAATCCCTTTTCTCACTGCTATGACGAGGCTTAATCTGGTCTGGGATATTAGGCGCCCACCTGGGGTGTTCTAACAGCTATGGGAGTTCCGGAGTGGATCAGTTTAGGGTTTAGGGAATAGTGATTACTAACAGTGATTACACTGAAATTAGAGTCTGGTACGCAAATCCATGTAAAACATGATTCTCGCAAGTGCACACCGCCTGGCGTAGTATTCTGTAAAATTAGCTATAACCATCATGGTAGCAATAGTAATAATCTAATAATAATCGTAATCGTAATAGCAAGACGAAGGAGACAGACAAATGATACTGTGAGATACCCAAAACCCTAGTCGAATGGTTTAGTAGAGCAGGGAACCTCAATCTTCGCAACAGAAGAAGACTGACGCGCTCGTGCAAGATTCTTCCGGCGCAGGCTACAGCCATCTTTCGCCGAATCCCCTTAGTTTAGGGTTTATAAAGGGACCCTAAACCCTTAAACCCCAAACTTTACCTGGACCCTGAAGAACCTACCTTAAGGTTCCGCATTATGATTTCTTTATATAAGTCCTTAAAAATGTAGATTGTTTGGGGCTAAGGTAAGCTTCAAGCCCTTAACAGCCCTGACTCTACAATAACCCCGGGACGCTAGATGTCCCCAAACTTTGAACTTTAAGCCCTTAACAACCTTAACAGCCCTGACTCTACAATAACCCCCGGACGCTAGATGTCCCCAAACTTTGAACTTTAAGCCCTTAACAACCTTAACAGCCCTGACTCTACAAGAACCCCCGGACGCTAGATGATCACAAGGCGCCGAACAGCACGGCCACATATCGGTAGCCGCCAAGAGAGAGGCCAAAGCAGCTGCCTCTCATGGCTTCAGGTCTCTTCGAACCTACGGCCTACCGTGTCTTTAAGGGTCAGGGTTTAGGGTTTAGGGTTTAGGCCTACCGTGTCTTTCAGTTCCTGTAAGGGTGTATAGGATGCTTTGATGGGTAGGTCGGTAAGTATTATCCAGGGTCTAATTCAAAGACCCTTATGTAAGGGCATGTATAGTGAGAACAGGGTTCGATGAGGGTTCTGCGTCTGTTTAAACAGGGCTGAGGGTATATTCAGGTAAAAACTGCAAAAAACTAGAAAGTGTCGGCGTGAGGGGGGGGGCTAATCCGTCTGTTCCACTGGTTCCACTCGCTCGTTCCACACGTTCCACTTGTCGTGCCACTCGCTGCACTCGCCCTGTACGTTACCTGCTCCACTCATTCCTGTCGTCTACAGCGCAGGTGAAGCGAGTGGCGCGAGTGGCACGAGTGGCGCGAGTGGAGTGGCGCGAGTGGCACGAGTGACGCGAGTGGCGCGGACGACTTCAATTCCTCGCCCCCCTCCCCCGTGCAATCGCACTGTTCTGGGGGGGGGAGGGGGGGGGGGGCGCCAATGAATCAATCTTCCAATTGTTCCACTCGCTCCACTCGCCCTGTGCCTTACCTGTTCCACTCGTTCCTGTTGCCTAGCTGTTGTTCGAGTGGCACGCATGGGCGAGTGGTGCGAGCGGCACGAGTGGCATGGACGACTTTAATCTTTCCTTCCGCCTGGGTCGCAATGATGAACTTTCAATTAATGTACGTAAAGCGGTTTTTGCGGGGTTGAGAAAAGCGTTCAGTGTCATCCCTACAGTAGTGGATGCTCATCGTCCAAACTCTGGACGCATGAACCTTAACCTCTAAAACCGCAGAATACTGAATCCGAGAACCTCCTTGAAACCTTGCTACCCTAGCCGTAGATCCTCGAACCTGAACCCTTTCCCCCAATAAGCCCGAACACCTACTCCCTATACAGCCTAAACCGTTCAAATTAGCCACAGACCCTAGATTCTACACCCCTTCCGAGTTTCACGACGCCAAGGATACGAGTTCACTGATTGATCTGTTGCTGTTTGTTTAGCAGGATCCGTCTATAGCGAGCCCCTGCAGAAGATACCGATAAACCCCCAATCAAGCCAATACAAAAGAAAGCTCTAAGACTCTTCTTCAACAACCAGGCCTACAAAAGTTCAAATTTTTAGGATAGACCTAATAGATGAGGCCAAAAAGTTTAAAGTTCTCCTATTGGCTATCTAAGATAAAAACCCGATTTCGCCTATGGCCAGGAGAAGCGAGGCGGCAGAGGCCGCCGTCCAGCTGAGCCGCAGCTTTTGAAGCAATGGCCGCCTGAAGCATCAGGGTTTAGGGTTCAGGGCTTTCGGGTTGGGGTTTAGGGTTTAGGGCTTAGGGGTTTGGGTTTAGGGCTTTTGGGTTTCGGGAGCCCTAAACCCTGAACCGTGGCTTTTGGGTTCCGGGTGGAGGGTTTCGGGTTTCGAGGCTCGGGGGATGAACAGGGCTTAGGGCTTTTGGGGTTTAGGGTTTAGGGTTTAGGGTGTAGAGCTTTTTCTGGTGAGGGTTTAGGCTGGCTTGTGGATTGCGGGACTACAGATGTAAGTAGGTCGGCACAATGTGTGTGTAAATTAGTAAACAAATTTGTGTGTGTATATATATATATGTTTATAATAATGATAATGACAATAATGATAATAATATCAATAATAAGCGTGCTGAGATACCTTTGTATGATGAATACACAGGATGTAGGAAACTAAAAGTGAAGGCTTCGGGTTCGACAGCAAAGCCCGGGAAACCGTTTCTGTTACGCAGACAATGGCCAGTTCCCCAAATTAGGGTCACCTTTTATGGTCCTTGTTTACAAGGGTGCCGTATGGTTTTGGGGACCTAAAAAGGGACCAACATTTGGAGAACTACCCACGTGAACCTTCCAGCTTGAACTTGGAGAGCTTTATTAGTTGGTTTTGTCAGCGAGCTGTCATGATGGTGGTGGCTTTGATGCAATGACAAGCATAATCAATGATCGCCATCTTCACAGCACCAGCAACATCATCACGATGGTGCTGATGACGAGCTGAGTCTTCAGTTCAAGCCCCAACAGACTATAGCGTCAGAAAGATATTCATCTGTACGATGCTTATCTATGTTGCTCTCAAGCAATCTTAATAACTTCGACACCAAAACACTTGTCAACCCGTCGCCCACTTCCGTTTGCCCTCAACCCTAAACCCTAAACCCTTCGCCAATTTCCGTTTGCGCAACGGGACTTTCGGTCCCAGAGGCACAGCAAACAGCACCACGAGGTTCGCGGCTTGAAGCGCCAGCACGATCCTCATTGGCATCTCTAAGCTCGAAATTTTCCGACTCGAAACCCTAAATGCTACTGTTGATGAAAATTAAAATGGTATATTCCTCAATATGGGTAATGCCAGATTTATATCATCAACCGTAGGGGCTTTAGGGTCTGGGGTTCAGGGGTGAGGGTTTAGGGCTTAGGCTGGAGGCCTCTGTACAAGCTCTGACATCAAAGTCCACACACGCTGAGGGTTTAGGGTTTCGGGAACAGTCTACTCAAAAATGCCATGCAACATAGGGGCCTTAATGATTAATTCGGGCCCAACTTTAAGTCGGGATTCCAAGGCAGAAACTCCATTAACCCCCGATGCAACTCAGAAAAGGGATGCAGGCTTGTGGGCTTGAAGGCACACTAAACTCTAAACCATGAAAAAGGATGGTGGGTGGCGAGGATTGTGGTCCTTGGAGCATGGGGCTTTAGACTCTACAAGAGCTTTCGGGATGGGGTTTAGGGTTGAGGGTTTAGGGTTTCAGGGTTTAGGGTTTTGGGTTTAGGCTTGAGGGTTTAGGGTTTTGGACTGTTTGCTTTTGGGTCTTCGTCTTTAGCAGCTTACGGTGTACTTGGAGGTTCACGGCTGTTATTAGTGGGTTATAAGTCCCTGGTATGGGTTAGAATCATAGTTACCTTACCCTACTTACAACCCCATTTATGACTACCCATGACCCTAAGCCCTAAAATCCTAAACCCTAAACCCTAAACCCTAAGCCCTAAACCATAAACCCTAAGCCCTAAACCCTAAACCCTAAACCCTATATAGCCCTTTAGGTCTTAAAGGGACCCCTTGAAGACCCGCAAGTAGAGAGGCTCCTATGATGCCGGGCTTAGCGTGTGCTGCAGGGGCTGTCTGGAGGTTTAGGGTTTAGGATATTTAAGGTTTATGGGTTTAGGGTTTAGGGTTTAGGATTCAGGGTTTAGGATTTAAGTGGTTTAGGATTTAGGGTTTAGGATTTAGAGTTTAGGGATTATAATTCAGCGTCTCTAACCTCTAAAGGATCGACAAAAGAGACCATGCAACCAGAGGGAACCCTGTGTATTTTGGTATGTGGAGAGTAAGGCCTTCAAGCCAATCTTAGGCTCTGAACCCCGAAACCCTAAACCCTACTTGGAGGTTCATGGGTAGTTATAAATGGGGTTATAAGTAGGGTAACTGCAATTATAGCCCGTATTAGGGGCCTTATAAGCCCATTTATAACTACCCATGAACCTCCAAGTAGACTCTGAACCCCGAAACCCAAACCCTGAACACCAAAGCCCTCCTAGCCCTATCACCCTTATCTTCTAAAATCGAATGCCTAAACACAAAACCTTCGTAGTCCCTTCATGTAGTTGTCCGAACTATGGGCCTCATTATACCCCTGCGATCCTCATATGTATAAATATATAAACCCTAAACCCTAAACCCTAAACCCTATATATATATATACACACACATGTATACACATGCATACATGCTTACTTTCTTACACCATATTCACCCTTTTGTACTGTATCAGACCGCTGTATTGGCCCCTTTGGCCAAAGGTGCCAGGTGGTCAGAGCCCAGCTCTCCGGCTGCAGAGAAACCAGGAACGACGACTCCACGAAAACCTCAAAGCTTTGGATCTGAAGCTTAATGTTTAGGGTTTAGGGCTTAGGGCTTTAATGTATGGAACTATGGAACCCTGATGTTTAGGGTTTAGGGTTTAGCGCTTCAATGTAGGGGCCTTAATAATTAGAATAGGGTTTTGGGCTCCTTTATATAGGACTCGACGAAAACCTCTTGGCTTTGGATCTGAAGCTGAATGTTCAGCGTTTAGGGTTTAGGGTTTAGGGCTTTAATGTATGGAACCCTAATGTTTAGGGTTTAGGGTTTAGCGCATTAATGTAGGGGCCTTAATAATTAGAATAGGGTTTTGGGCTCCTTTAAATAGGACTCGACGAAAACCTCTTGGCTTTGGATCTGAAGCTTAATGTTCAGCGTTTAGGGTTTAGGGTTTAGGGCTTTAATGTATGGAACCCTAATGTTTAGGGTTTAGGGTTTAGCGCTTCAATGTAGGGGCCTTATTAATTAGAATAGGGTTTGGGGCTCCTTTATATAGGACTCGACAAAAAGCTCTTGGCTTTGGATCTGAAGCTTAATGTTCAGCGTTTAGGGTTTAGGGTTTAGGGCTTTAATGTAAAGAACCCTAATGTTTAGGGTTTAGGGTTTAGCGCATTAATGTAGGGGCCTTAATAATTAGAATAGGGCTTTGGGCTCCTTTATATAGGACTCGACGAAAACCTCTTGGCTTTGGATCTGAAGCTGAATGTTCAGCGTTTAGGGTTTAGGGTTTAGGGCTTTAATGTATGGAACCCTAATGTTTAGGGTTTAGGGCTTAGCGCTTTAATGTAGGGGCCTTGATAATTAGAATAGGGTTTTGGGCTCCTCTATAGTATCACCATAACAAGGAAACCTCTTGGCTTTGGATCTGAAGTTTAATGTTCAGGGTTTAGGGTTTAGGGCTCTAATGTAGGGAACCCTAATGATCAGGGTTTAGGGTTTTGGGCTTTAATGAAGGGAACCCTAACGTTTAGGGTTTAGGGTTTAGGGCTGTAATGAAGGGAACCCTAATGCTTAGGGTTTAGGGTTTAGGGCTTTAATGTAGGGAACCCTAATGTTTAGGGTTTAGGGCTTTAATGACCGGAACCCTAATGATCAGAGATTTAGGGGTTAGCGCTTTAATGTAGGGGCCTTAATAATTAGAATAGGGTTTTGGGCTCCTTTATAGTATTACCACAACAAGGAACCCTAACAATAATATTAGTAAATAATGGTAATTATTTAGGCCTGTATATTACTCCAAGCTCTAGGTGCTTGTTTTAAAGATCATCGGGCTTTAGGGTTTAGGGTTTTGAGTTTAGGGTTTAGGGCTGAGCGTTTAGGGGTTTCGGGTTTAGGGTTTAGGGTTAGGGTTTAGGGTTTAGGACTTGTTTAGAATAGCTATGGTCTAGTTTTTGGAAGGTACCAGTACTTATTCCAGGCCCCAATATGGCATGTGTGGGGGTCCTGCAACAAAGTCGGTTTTGGTAGCTCCAGGTACTGCGAGCTCTGCGGAACATCCCGCAGTGTCCTACAGGGGGTTCGACCATATAGGGGCCTGAGTAACTACGATAGGGATTTGGAGTAAACTCTACGAAAAACGGTAAAAAGAGAAGCCACAGGAATAGTGTTCCCTAAACCCTAAACCGTGTCCTGATTATTCAGTCTTCGATGAACCCTCCTAGGGCAAGAGTGGATAAGGGCCTAGGTTCTAAATTCCCTGTGGAGCGTTTGGCCAGCCTCTAAAATGTGTTTAGGGTTTAGGGTTTGGGGAACTGTCAGGTGGCTCCAACGGCATATACTGTAGAAGCCTTAACAACTAGAATGGGGTTTTCGGGTCTATTATACTATGTAGAGCGATAGTAAGGAACCAATAAAACAATGTAGGAAATTATTAAGGCCCCTGTATTAAAGCGCTAAACCGTAAACCCTAAACATTAGAGTTCCCTACATTAAAGCCCTAAACCCTAAACATTAAGCCTCAGATCCAAGGTACCTGATAGTTTCGAAAAGCTCGTCGGAAGGATGGTTTGACGTTGAGTCTCTATGAACGGTCTTCGATTTGCCGACACTCCAAAGGGGCCAAAGCCTAAACCCAACACCTCGCCGAAGCCGCTACGGGTCTTCCGTCACTCCGTATTACAAGTGTTAAAGGAAACTACAGGTGGGGAGTTTCGGGTATATAGGGCTTCTAGAAAGCTTCTATAAAGTATATAGACCTTCTATAAGGCTCCTATAACGGCAACTGCCCACCTGAAAATGTCCTAGAAAGAGTCGGGGAGTTGAAGGTTCACAGTGCAAGGCCACAAAGTCGGGTTTAGGGATTAGAGACAAAGATGGGTTTAGTTCGGGTTTAGAGTTTAGGGTTCAAAGTTGGTACATAGGATAACGGAGGCAAGAGACCCGAAAACCCTAAACTAAACCGGTTCTCGCTGTTCTCGCCTTTACGGTTTTGGGTGAGGCAACGCATTTAGGGCCCCAACAAACCACATAAGCAAAAATTCGGATAGTGATATCCCATATAAATCCCCTTATACTGAAGCCCAATAGGGTAGGGATATCCCTATAGAATGCTTATGCTTACGTCCTTTTTGGGTCCCCAAGCATTAACGTGTTACAAGTAGCGGTCAGCAATTAGGTCCCTACACCCTAGAAACCCGAAAACCAGATTCAGATCATTGGACCTGTGATGGTGGGCTGAAGGACAGCAGTATGATGTTACATGGAAGCCCTACCTCCTTCTACACGGTCACTTAAGCCCTACCTCCTTCCACACGGCCACTTAAGCACTACCTCCTTCTACACGGCCACTTAAGCCCTAAACCCTAAACCCCGTGGGTAATGCGATGCACAGTCAGAGGCGCTGCGTTGATCGACGACCAGCTTCCCAAGCCGAAAATGACAAAAGCCGCCTCGGGTTCAGGGTTTAGGGCTTAGGGGGTTCAACCCTAAGAACTTAACCCTAAACCCAAAACCCTACTAAACCTTAAACCCCTAAACCCCTAAACCCCTAAACCCCTAAACCCCTAAACCCTAAACCCTAAACCCAAAACCCTACTAAACCTTAAACCCCAAACATAAAACCCTAAAGCACCCAATGCCTGAAGCTCAGGGTCTCGGGTTGACCCCTTGGCGGAAACATGCAGAAACCCTGCACCCGCCTTACTTAGGATTTAGGGTTTAGGGTTTAGGGTTTAGAGTTTCGGGTTTAGGGTTTAGGGTTTAGGGTTTAAAACCTCCAAACTTTATCCCCCTGCACCGTGAGCCTTCAGCCTCAGATCCTGAAAACCCAATCCGCCCCCTTCTATTCCTTCCTTAATCCCTTTACATGCCCAGTAACCTAAGATTAAAAAGGGCTCCTTTTTTGGTATTGGGTACCTTTATAAGGAACCTAAGATCCCAAAAAGGGAAAAAGGGCCAACTGGGAGACCCAGCCCCCAGCACCCTAACCTTAAGCCTCAGCTTGTTTTCCCTTCTCTCTCCACGGCACATACCTCAACTTATTCTCCCTTCTCTCGCCATGGCACATACCTCAACTTATTCTCCCTTCTCTCTCCACGGCACATACACCGCAGCGCCCTCGCGCTGAAGCGCCGGCCGCGATTCCGGGTCTGCTGCGCCCACACTTAGGGCACCGGTCCCCAAAGGGGAGGCCATGGCTGCTATTAGGGTGCTCAGGTTCAGGGTTTAGGGTTTAGGGTTTAAGGGTTTAGGTGTTAATTATAGGGTTTAGGGTTTAATTATAGGGTTTGTAGGGTACTCAGGTTCAGGGTTTGGGGTTTAGGGTTTAAGGGCTTAGAGCCTTTAGGGTTTTTTAATTATAGGGTTGATAGGGAAGGGCCCACGGTACCCACGTGGTAGAAAGTAAGGTTTCTAGAAAAGGGAATGCTATGCTGGTTTGGGTAAGTAGTACGTATCACGCAAGGTGCTTTCGGACCCTTCGTCTTGGGTCCTCCGACGCTAATCGCCGAAGCGATAAAACTTCAGGGTTTATGGAACTTAGCGTTCCGAGAGACTCTAGAGCCCTTAATTAAAGAATATAATATAGGGGCCTACATCATTACCAATACTATTTTGGGGCGTTCCTTACTATGACTACAGTATAATATGCCCCAAAACCCCATCCTATATTACAGGGTTTAGGGTTACATCGCGCTTTAAGGTTGAGGCCTGAGGGCGAGATTTTTTTTGAGACCATGCTAGTACACAAGGCCACTGGCCTATGTTGAGCCCAAGCGTGGTTGATGCGGAGGATTGCTTTTGGGGCCCTAGTGGGTTTAGGGTTTAGGGTTTAGGACTTAGAGGTCTAACCGTTCAGGGCTTCAGGGCGTGTACGAGATCTTTGGCTACTTCGTGGAGGCTCGGGGGACTGGAGAGTGCAGACATAGCTTGTAGTATGGGATGAGGCTCTTTTGGCTTTGGGCCGCAAGCTCCAGCCCTAAAACTACAAATCCTCTCCATCATGTGCGGCACCCTAAACCCTAAACCCACTAGGGCCCCAAAAGCAATCGGCAGACTGAACATTGTGGCATGATGAAGTCATGTGCAGATTTGGGTATTCGGGTCTTTAGTGGTTGGCCTTGCATACTTTCCACAGTGTCGTGGATAGTGTCGTATTGCTGCAGTCGAAGCTGCATGGAATGCTCTGGTCGGGGCGTGTGAGAGTGTCTCAGGATGCAAACTGGGTCTGGAGGAAAAAACCAACAGTGCTGCCGCTGTGGCCGCCCGCTTGGTGGCGAAGCAGTATTGAAGGCCCCTAAACACGGAATATAGTCGAAGTTCTTCCTGCTTGCCTTTACACATCACATGTTCCACGGGACGCTGAACCACCCATTTTCTGCAACATCATGTCCGAGCAGGCATCAATAGACTAGTGGGGTAAAGGAGGCGTTAAAAGCAAAACAAACAGTCATCATTTCTCCTGGGTGTCAGCGGAGATGTCATGCTAGAAATCAGGGGTTTCCTGAATCCCTGTCGTGGACTCCTTTATTTCGGCACCAGCCTTTCGAGCATTCGCGGTCCTAGCATTGCTTGTTGCAGCTGGGCGCGGCTTTCACATGCCGAAAGATCCTAAGGAGGTAAGGAAGTAAGATGAAAAGTTGCGGGACCAGCTGAATTGCCAAACGCGAGAAAAGGCCAATGCCCGGGTGAGGAAAAATCCGATGTGCATCGTGAGCCGTGAAGAGCAGAACCGCAGCCTCAGCCATGGGCTCACTGAAGAAGGCCTAAACCCTAAACCCTATAACCCCCCCCCAAAAAAAGCCCCTATCAAGGCCTCAGGTTGCCAAAACCCTAAACCCTAAACCCCCTAGGTTTAGGGTTTAGGGTTTAGGGTTTAGGGTCAACCTCGCCCCCGAGTTGCGGTGTTTATTTTTTGACCCGAGCATGGCAAATCCTATGTTTCACTCACCTACACGGGCAACCCATGACGTAATATAGGGGCCTAAATAATTACCTATACTATTTTGGGGGTTCCTTAGTATAATTATAGTACAATATACCCCAAACCCTATTCTAATGATTAAGGCCCCTACAGTAGCGTAAACAGTGCAAAGCTGCCGAATAAAGTCAGGGGACCACCGTCTTGCTCATCGTCCACACAGCATTCATGACATGGTGTTCTAGATAGTTCAAGGAGCCGGTGCGCCACCAGGTCATCAGCACATAGAAGTTTAGCCCGTCATAGAGGGGGAAGACGGAGCCAATCACCATCATCTCACACAGCATCTCCCAGTGGTACGAGCTCCAAATCGAGAGCTTCATTAACTCTTGGGTCATGTAAACGTAGGCATTCAAGATGATCCCCAAAGACACCAGCGTTGCTCCCAGGATGAGAAAGTGCCCGGTGCTGCCCACCATGAGCATTCGCGACTTTTCCTTGACACCAATAACATAGCAGTTCAAGGCACTCACCAACGTCGAACTGCCAAAGGCGCTCACGAAACTCCGCGCGAAGGGAAGGCTGAAGAGCGCCTTGCTGTGGTCTGATGAGTGTTGTTGCTGATCATTTAAGGCTTTGTGATTGGAGAGTGCTGCCAGTTCTGAAACAATAATCTCTGCCCCTACTCTATGATCGGGGGTGGGGGCTAGGGGTTTCGGCGGATGAACAAAATCAGGAAACACAAACAAATAACCTTCAGATTAGTTCCTTAATCTAACCGAGTCTTGCCATTTTTTAACAGGCGTGATAGTCGAGGTACATGAACTAGGGTTCAGCATTCAGGGCTCGGTTGTATGATTTCATACCTCAAACCCAAACAAAAAAGTACGTGAGCTTGAAATCTACGATACCCGAGTGTAACTAGTAGATTAGTTAATCATCGTGCTGAGGTTTAGGTTTCCAACGCACAAAAGCAACACGCACCCCCCCCACATGTAGGACCTAGGATACCCTAGCCTTGGCTAGAAATAATCTAGGGGCCTTAACTTATAATAGTTACAATAGGGTTTTGGGCTCGATTATGCTATACGTATAAAAAGGAACCCCCCAAAATAAAAGAGGTAATTATTTAAGCCCCTACAACCCTAAACCCTGTATTTGTCGTGTCAACGGCTTGGCACTGCGGGGTTGAGGATTCCCTTATTTGTCTAATACGGAAACTGCATCAAAGCGTTACATTTCCTTCAAGTCGAATGTAGGAATCTGAGTTAGAATAGGGTATTGGGCTCCTTTATAGTATAGCTATAAACAGAAGCCTAAGGAATAATGTTCGTAATTATTAGTCTTCTATAGTATGTGTCCTTAATCGTGTATTCAAAGCGGAGGTTTCTTTTGTATGGGTCAAATATCAAAACCGTACAATTGTAAAGCATTCATTTCGCTCAACTCTAACATGTCCCTCACCCAACCATGCAAAAGAAATGCGCTTCATTGACATTTAAATAACCCGAAGTCTTTACATTTTTTGACAATATGGGCAGGTCTTGCAAAAGGGAGTGAGGATGAGACAGCTGTATAGCCACGGGACAGGCATGCCTTGAGGGTAAGCAGGCACCTTCTCTCAGTCTCTCGGTCTCGGTCTCGGTCTCTCAGTCGCTCGGTCGCGCCGTCGCTCTGTCTCTCTGTCGCTCTGTCTCTCTCTCTCTCTCTCTGTCTCGCTCTCTCTCTGTCTCTCTGTCTCGTTCTGGTTTCCTTTCTGGCAGGGAGGCTCACAACAATCGCTTGACCCTGCCAGCTAAGCCGAGGCGCGGGGTGCTTCTCGAAGACCTTGGGGTCGCTGAGCCAGGAATGCCGAATCTGCAAGACCCAGCCGCCACCGATAACGGCCAGTGACAGCCACTTCAGCATCAAACCCCGCTGTAGATGCCCCGAACCGCCCTTCTTGAAGATGAACTGCCACACCATCAGAGCCACATATGGAAAGACCACCCAGACGTGCAAGTGAGCCAGGGAGTTATAGAAGTTGTCCTGATGGGCAATATCTTCGACTTCCAACATCTTCCAACTAAGTAACCCCACTTGTGAGTCGCAGCCTGTCCTGAAGAGGGTACCGAGAAAACGGTGTCACCCCCTCCTCGTGTGCCACAGGCGACCAACTTTGCGACTTGGATTGGTTGTAGCGGGACCACATGCCGCGGAGCAGATGCAGTTGAATGGAGGGAATGGAACAGACGAACGTGTTTTGGGCAAGTATGCTGCAAGTCAGCATCAGGCTTGTGTAAGGTTGGGGGGTGCGAGGGCTCTTTTCGGATTTAGGATTCAGGGTTTTAAGGCTTAGGACTTTAGGGTTAAAGGGTTTGGGGGTGCCGGCCCTTCAAAGTTCAGGACTCGAGGGGTTTAACATAAGGGACTTAATGATTAGAACAGGGTTTGGGGGTCCTTTTGCAGTAGTATGATCAGGAACCCCCCGACATAGATCAAAATAGTATAGGTAATTGTCTAGGCCCCTATATTAGGCCTGAGGGCCTTGGGGTTTTGGGGGTTTGGAGCTTGCAAGTTTACGCCTGCGTTGTTGTTTAGGTTTAGGGTTGAGGGTTTAGGGTATTTAGGGTTTAGGGTTTTGCTGTTGAGGTTTGATTTTTTCAGGGCTGAACTGTGGAGCTTCATGGGATGTTTACGTTTTCAAGGGCTGCGGCCAAGTGCCTTCGGTACTGTTGTCAGAAGTTTCTCTAGATATTTAGGGTTTGAGGGTTTAGGGTTTAGGGGATGAAAACTCAATGGCTGTTTTCAGTTCAGGGAGAAGTGGTGTGAAAGTGTAGGGGGGAGTATTGGATGTGAGGTGTGGGGGGTTAGCATCTGCTTGCTAAATATAATAGGGCTTACGGATTAGGGGCCAAGGACCCCAAGCAAGTTCGGCCAGTCCCCGAACCCCTAAACCCTAAACCCTAAACCCCTAAACCCCTAAACCCCCTAAACCACCTAAACCCCCCAAAACCCTAAACCCCCTAAACCCTAAACCCATAAACCCCTAAACCGGCAGGAAGGGGCGTCTTTGCATGCAGGTCTTTGGAAGGAGCCCTTGCAAGGAACAATGAAGACCCAAAGCTCCACACCTCCACAGCGTTTAGAGTTTAGGGTTTAGGGTTCAGGGTTTAGGGTTTAAGGCTTAGGGTCTAGGGTTTAAGGTTTAGGGTTTAAGGTTTAGGGATGCAGGTTTAAGGTTTAGGGTTTAGGGTCTAGGGTTTAAGGCTTAGGGTTTAGGGTGCTGTATAGCAGAACCCTAAACCCTAAAGCGTGGGAGCTCATGGAAATTTTGTTCGACCTCTCCTACGCCTCCCAAGGTGAGGACGAGCCCTTGAAGATGAAACTTGAAGAGGTGGATCTGGTTTAGTTTTGGAATTCAGGGTATAATCCTTAAACCTGAATCCTAAACCCTCAACCCTAAACTCTCAACCCTAAATCTTGAACCCCGACACTCTTGAACCCTAAACCCTGGACCCTAAACCTTAAACTTAACCCAAAACCCTGGACCTAGGATTTATATCGGCGGGAACAGGGGGGAAGTTCCGACTTTTGCTCGATATGTTAGGATCCCATAAGGTAACCCAAAGCAGGAACTACTGTGGAGACTATAGGTAAAACCCTAGACTGCCCTAAACCCTAAACCCCTAAACCCAAAGCCCCTAAACCCTGACCCCTACACCCCAAACCCTAAAACCACAAACCCCTGACCCCCTAAACCCCTAAACCCTACAAACCCATAAAACCCTACACACCCGAAAAGTCTGAAGCCCTAAGAAACCTTAACAATGCCTGGGGCCTAAGGAACCCTAACAAAACCCTAAGGAACCGCAAGAGACTCTAAGAAGCCCTTAGAAATCCCTAAACCCTAAACCCTAAACACTAGACCCTACACACCCTAAACCCTAAACCCTAAACCCTACACACCCGAAACCCGAAACCCTAAACCCTAAACCCTAAACCCTGCACACCCGAAACCTCTGACGCCCTGCCAGAGATCCGCGGATTTTTCTCGTCCGCTGCACTTGGCTCACTGCACATCGCACCACGCCCGAGCTCAGTCCTGGAGCCATGTCGGGGTTAGGGCTTTAGGCGTTTCGGGGTTAGGGCTTTAGGGTTTTAGGGTTTCGGGTTTAGGGGTTTAAGGTTTATATATGGCTTTAGGGTTTTAGGGTTTCGGGTTTAGGGGTTTAAGGTTTAGGGGTTTCGGGTTCAGGTTTTAGGGTATTATGGGGTTTAGGGTTTAGGGCTTAGGGGTTTATGGGGTTTATGGGGCCTATGGGGCTTATGGGGTTTATGGTTGCTGATGCTTTGTCTGCAGATTTCGTGGAGCTTGACACTGTGGGATTCGGGCCTTCGGGGTAGGACAGTTGCTACAGAATCGAGCGTGGCTACGATGATGCACTCCCAAGGTTGCTAATTTAGAGTTTAGGGTTTAAGGTCTAGGGCTTAATTATGAAGGTAGAGTAGCCCTTGCTTGACATACCCTAAGGGTCCATGTTCCCAAATAGTATATACTTTGGCCTTAAAGTGGTCCCTACTTAGGTACTTTGGAGCCAAAGTATATACTATTTGGGTACATGGACCCTTAGGGATAGTGTTGTCATCACTCTTCCTCGTCATCATCTTTCTCACCCTGGCCCTAGCAACTGCTGCCGTGGTTACTCGTGGTGTCTTTCTTTGCTTCGTCTTGTGAATTTCGCGCTAAACCCTAAACCCTAAACCCTAAATCCAAAACCCTAAACCCTACACCCAAAACCCTAAACCCTAAACTTACTGATCCCCTTGAGGGGACCGGTGATTTTAAGAGAACCAGCAGTTCGGCTAAGCGTTCCTCAGGAATACTGCGTGGAAGCTTCTGGCTCAGGGTTTAAGGCTTTGGGTTTACCAGGACCCCCCAAGGGCCCTTTAATGGAGCCCTTATGGTCTTTAATAGAAAGGATTTAGGGTATGTTAGAGGGTAGTTGGGAGGTCTAGGTAGGCGTTTAGGGTTTAGGGCTTTAGGGTTTAAGGTTTAGGGCTTAGAGTTTAGGGTTTAAGGTTTAGGGGGTGTTGGGGTTTAGGGTCTAGGGCTTCAGGGCTTAAGGTTTCGGGGTTAGTGTTTAGTGTTTAAGGTTTAGGGGGTTTTGGGGTTTAGGGTTTAGGGCTCGGGGGTTTAAGGTTTACGGGTTAGGGTTTAGGTTTAGGGTTTAAGGTTTTGGGGTGTTGGGGTTAAGGGTTTAGGGCTCAGGGGTTTCGGGGCTTATGCTAAACTCGGACACTACGCTCAAGACCGAAGCTACATCCTCCTTGCCCCACAGCGCTACCGTTGGCTCTGCTGACTATACCTAGTGAGCCCAAAACCTACTGTTCAGGAGGTTACACCCTCTCACAAAGAAGCAGGGTTTTGTATCTGTTTAGGGTGTAGGGTTTAGCGTGTGACAACCTGTTGTTCCGAAGGGTGAGGTTACAGTACGTCGTACACTTAGACAAAAAGGCCGCTGCATCCGCTGTTTGGTAGGAAGTAGGTCCTGTTCCCACTTTTTATGGTTGCTCCGAACTTGAAGACTGTTGATATCAGTATCGCTGCAGTCAGCATTTTTCTGATCGGCGCTCTTCTTTCCGATGCGGCTATGCGCCTTCATTATTGGCTACCTCCCAAATCAACAAACCCTTAGAATCCGAGATCGCCAAGTTTAAAACCCTAAACCTAAACCCTAAACCCCTAAACCCTAAACCCTAAACCCCAAACCTTATTTCTCTTTTAAACCCTAAACCCCAAATTGACCCCAGGGCTGGTCCTCCTTGACGCCGTGGGAGCTGACGTAGATACCATCCAAGAACTTTCGGATATCCTTCTTCTTGCACAAGCACGACCTCAATATGGGTGGTTGTCAAAATTATGGTCCCTTTTTGGGTCCTTATTATAATACGGCACCTATTATTTAGGGTACCCCAAAAGGGACCCTAATTTTGACAACTACCCATATGGCTACTAGAACTTCTTCTTGCACAAGCACGACCTCCGGGCTACTAGAACTCCCAAAGCCCAAAGTAAAGGAAACTACAGGTGGGGAGTTTAGGGTTTTTTAGGGCTTCCATAAGGTATATAGACCTTATATTAGGCTCCTGTAACGGTAACTACCCACCTGAAAATGTCCTAGACTAAAGGCCTCAAGGCATTTAGTGCAGGGGCCTTGACTAATTGGAACAAGGTTTTGGGCTCTTCAAAAGTATGGATATACTAGGGAACCCTAAGGAAAATGTTGGATGTAGGCTTCTACATTACCTTGACTCCAATGAACTTACCTTTTTCGGGCTGCCTCTTCTGATTTCCTTGTGTAAGTACTTAAAAACGCAAGTCCCTCAGGGTCCAGGTATGCCTCAGAAGGCAAGAGGAACACTTGTACGATTTACGGTAGATTCCACAAGTACTTGGAGGTTGACGGGTGGTTATGAGTGGGGTTATAAAGAACCTGACATGGGTTACAGTTATGTATAGTTACCCTACTTACAAACCCCAAACCCCGCTGATAACTACCCAACCTCCAAGTAAGGGGTTTAGTGCCCCTAAACCCTAAACCCTAAACCCCTAAACGTTTAGGCTGCTTTGCGTTCAGACGGCCCCAGCTTAGACAGGCCCCCAAGCCATGTGGAGCGCAGGGGTCAAAGCTGAATCCCTCTTTAGCCTTGCAACATGCTGCTATTAGCTATTTATTCGTACTACTACAAGGCCAAACCCAAACCGGAACCCAAAGACCCAAATACCCCTTCATTGAGGAATCTACCTGAAATTATAGGTATAGGGGCCTCAATGTTCTAATTTAAGGTCTATTGCTTAATTAAGGGGTATTGGGCTCTCTGGGAAGCCCCATGCATAAGCCCTGAGTCCTGCAATCTCTTCAAAGCTACACCCACCTATAGCTGAAACCGAGTAGCTGATGGATGAGAGCAGACGACTGTCCCGTGAGCTCGATGTCCGGGCCAGAGACGACAAGCTCGTCCTCTCGGGGTCTCGGTGATTGAATTGAGAAGGCCTAGCTTGCAGATTTAGGGCTAAGTTCTGAGCAAGTCGTCTGTACAGATTTCCGGGCAAACTTCTGCCCAAGTCGTCTTTTCTTCCCTGGCCGCGCATGGCATCAAGCCGTTTTCTGCAGATGCCTGGTTGAAAGCTGCATGACCGAAGCCTCTGCACTGGGCATGTCTCAGGTCAGCGGCTCGGGCTGTGAGAAGTTAAACACTTGCAACAGACATGAGGGTAAGGCCTCACAAATGCACCACTTCCCGGGATTCATCTTCGCCATGTCGCGCGAGAGCAAATCCAACACTTGTGCGCTCCCAGTCGTAAACTGTGTAGTACTTCCGCAACCTCAGCACGAGAAAAAGACAAGGTACACGAGAACTTCCTTGCGTTCCATACTACATCTCCGGTACCGAATATCCCAAGTCCCCATCCCAGTTCAATAAGTGTTGTGTATGACTAGCCCCTTTCCTGAATCGATGTCTGCACCTTAGCATCCCTATCATAGGGATATTGCCCAAGGGTGTTAATATTATGATCCCCACTATCCTACAGTTATCCCCAGAAAGTTGGAACATTAATCTAGCATGGTTCGTGCTGGGATTCCCTATACCTTGCCTTCAGGGCATCAACATAATGATGTTCCAACTTCCTGGCCTCTACTGCAATTCTTGTGCAAGGAAGAAGTTTGTCAAGCACGGGTCTAGACTAAGCCTGAACTCTAGACCCCAAAACCCAAAGCCCTACAGTCTTCAGCCCTAGACCCTAGGCCCCAAACCCTTCCAAGTACCTAATAATCATATACTCTCCCAAGTAGTAACCTGCATACTTACATCACTACTCCCTAAACCCTAAACCCTAAACCCTAAACCCTAAACCCTAAACCAACTATCCGAAACCAGGGTACCTAATTTAGCTATTGGATCCTTTGGACCCTGAGGGTAACCCCCCAACCCTCACCCTGCAGTTTTAATCCCTAAGCCAACCTAAACCCTAAACCCTAAACCCTAAACCCTAAACCCTAAACCCTAAACCCTAAACCCTAAGCTCTAACCAGGAGGGTTGTTGAGCCCTGCGCGAGGCTGCGTTCCGACCCGGGGATGTCCTCTGAAACACCAGGGCCTGAATCCTAACCGCTCTGAACCCTAACCGCTAAACCCTGAACCCTAAACCCTGAACCCTAAACTCTAAACCCAAAACCCTCAATCCTAACCCCTAAACCCTGAATCCTAAACCCTGAACCCTAAATCCCAAACCCTAAACCCTCCAGGGCTTCTACGAAGAATCCAGAGAGAGAGAGAGAGAGAGAGAGAGAGAGACAGAGAGACTCAGGGTTCCTTAAAAGGGATCTCTGTAGGTCGGTGTCCGGTCTCTATTCAGGTTCCTTTGAGGGATATTGGGTTTAGGGTTTAGGGTTTAGGGTTTAGGGTTTAGGGTATTATATGGGTAGTTCTCTAAATTAGGGTCCCTTTTGGGGTCCTGTTTACAAGGGTGCCGTATTATAATGGGGACCTAAAGAGGGATCGTAATTTAGAGAACTCCCCTTATAAGGGTTCCTTTAAGGGACTTATAAGGGTTCCTTACGGGTGCCTTTACGGGACCTACAAGAGTTCGTTTAAGGGATACATCGGGGTTCCTTGAAGGGACCTATAAGGGTTCCTGTAAGGTTTGTGCAAGGGCTATAGAAGGGCTCTACTTGGAGGTTCATGGGTATAGCTATGAGTGGAGTTATAAGTGGTGCAAACATAACTGCAACCCATAGTAGGGGACTTCTACCATTTATAACTACCCATGAACCTCCAAGTATTTCTGGCTCTTTCATTCGATTGAATATTTCTTAAACCAAAACAGAAGAGCTGTATAAATTCAACGAACATTCGTACAAACACAAGCACGAAGCACAGCCCTAAGCCCCATTCCCTTCATTACAAGAATGCCGAATTCAAGTTTGAGGCAGGCTCTAGGCCTTCTCATAAGGTCTCCAGTGCAGCGGCCTTCAGAGATAGAATAGAATGGCCTCTTTCAAGGGATCTTCACTGTATTTATATTCAGAACACCACCAAAGGAATACAGTAGTATCCCTAAATGTCTCCGGCTTCCACATTACGCGCAAAAGAGGCCCGAAGCATCCCAAAACATGTATTGGCAGGAGGCATCGGCTCGCCCAGAATGAACGCCTTCAGGGCTTGCCGGTGGAGGGCTCCAAGGGTTCGATTTAGGGTTTAAGTTTGAGGGTTTAAGGTTTAGGGTTCTTGTAAAATCACATACTATGTGGATGAGTATCCTTTAAAGAAAAGGCTTCAGGGTCTAAGGCTGTTGTGTTAAGTTAAGGGATGTGAGCCGAGGGAGCCCGAACACCTCAAAACCCTACACCCGAATCCCTAAACGAGGTGTTCGGGGCCCCTCCCCCAGCCCTAAACTATAAACCCCAAACCCTAACCCTTTAAGCCCTCCAAACCCCAAAAGCCATGATCCCGGAAGCCCCCAAACCTCGAAACCTCCCCAAACCCCCCCGAATCCGAATCAAAGCCAGGGTTTAGGGTTTAGGAGTTTAGGAGGGGTTTAGGGTTTTAGGGTTTAGGGTTTGCGGGTTTAGGGTTTAGGAGTTTAGGGTTGAATCCCCCCCCCAAATCTCGAAACCTCCCCAAACCCCCTTTAGGATTTAGGGTTTACGGTTTAGGGGTTCAAGCCCCGAATCCGAATCAAAGCATCCTGCAGCTGACACAAGCTAGAATTCCTCAGCGTCTCAACATACACCCTTCAGAAAGAGTCCAGAGGGACGCCTTTCCCATAAGCCCTCATTTTACGAGACAGAAATACGAACTCTGACACCAAGAATCCGCCACCATCAGCCCAAAACTCAAAACCCGAAGACGCCTTAAGCCTCAACACCCTCAGCACTTGACTTAGACTTAGAAGTGCTTAGCCGGATAAACCAGCGTGCACGACCCTTTTACATGTCATGCGAACCACGCTACTAAACTGGGGTCCCTGTAATTTCATATGAAATTAATTCCTTAAACCCTAAACCTTAAACCCCTAAACTTTAAAGGGACCCTAAACCTTAAACCCCTAAACTGTAAAGGCGCCCTCAACCCTAAACCCCTAAACCGCTAAACTTTAAAGGGACCCTAAACCCTAAACCCCTAAACTTTAACTTTAAGGGACCCTAAACCCTAAACCCCTAAACTTTAAAGGGACCCTAAACCCTAAACCCCTACAGTAGAAGCCAAAAAGGTGGAAACCCAATAGCCTCAATCCTTAAGATTACTATATAGGGAATCCCAGCACTATTTGGCCTTAATCAGGTTTCCAACTTTTTGGTGCTTACTGTAAACTTTAAAGGGACCCTAAACCCTGAACCCCTTAACCCCTAAACTTTAAAGGGGCCCTAAACCCTAAACCCTAAACCCCCAAACTTTAAGGGGCCCTAAACCCTAAACCCTAAGCCCCTAAACTTTAAAGGGACCCTAAACCCTAAACCCTAAACCCCTAAACTTTAAAGGGGCCCTAAACCCTAAACCCTAAACCCCTAAACTTTAAAGGGGCCCTAAACCCTAAACCCTAAGCCCCTAAACTTTAAGGGACCCTGAACCCTGAACCCCTAAACCCCTAAACTTTAAAGGGACCCTAAACCCTAAACCCTAAGCCCCTAAACTTTAAAGGGACCCTGAACCCTGAACCCTAAACTTTAAGGGGCCCTGAACCCTGAACCCCTAAACCCTAAACCCTAAACCCTAAACCCTAAACCCTAAACCCTAAACCCTAAACCCCTAAACTGCGCCCTCGGGAGCTCTTGCTTCTCTTGAGTTGCCAGGCCTTAGCTCCCAGGGAAGGTGTCGGATCCACCGGCAGAAGCCTTGAAAGCCAGGTAGGCTTGGAGGTTCCTAGGGGGGGTTTAGGGGGTTTAGGGTTTAGGGTTTAGGGTTTAGGGTTTGGGGTTTAGGGTTTAGGGTTTAGGGTTTAGGGTTTAGGGTTTATGGTTTGGGGTTAGGGTTTCGGGTTTAGGGTTTAGGGGTTTGGGGGTTTAGAAGGGCTGTAGCTTCCGGGCTTAGGGTTGAGGGTCTAGGGTTTAGGGATTAGGGTTTAAGATCCAGGGTTTAGGGTTTGTAGGGTCTAGGGAGAGTTTTGCCAGATATATACTGCAGGGGGACCCTGCGCATACTTTGACGGGATATCGTTGCGATCTATTCAAACTCTATGCTGCACGCAATGTCAGGTGAGCTGGCCACAGTAAGGCCCCCTAAACCTAAACCCTAAACCCGAAACCCAAAGTCCCAAACCCTAAACCCTAAA